GGGGGGGGCGGGGTTGCCTCGAGCGGGGCGCGATCACCTTCGCCAGGCGAAGCATCCGTCGCGCCCTCGCACCCAGCGGCCGCGACCTCCAAGGTGGCCCGAAGCAAGCGCCTCCCAATTAAAGACAAGTCCCCCTCGAATCCAGCTTGACGGCCTCGGTCAGATTCAGGGGCCCCACAGCGCTAAGCGACGCCGTCTGCGGGTGCGTCAGCCACAGCAATATCACAGGGGGCCTCGTCTCAGCAGGGGAAGATAGGCGCCCGCCTCGACCCGCGAACCGCGCAGCTTGCTCTTTCCACGGCACACATGCGTTTGAACGCATCAACCCCGACACCGGTTCTCATTGTCGGTGATGAACACTGTGGGCCCGATCGACCCTCGGATCTCGACCTCGAAGAATTGGAGCTCACCTCGGGGAAAAAAACTGAGCTCGCCCAGGCAGCGGCCATGCAACCATCGGGCCGGTGCTAGTCATCGCTTCGGCGTCGATCATGACAGCGACACCTCGCCAAACATGCAGTAGAGGAGTGTACCGACTGCCGGGCCCACCTGATGCTTCCCTTAAGGCAATAAAAGGGCGAACTTGCAATGCCGACGCCAAGGCTGCCTTCCCCCAAAGCGGGCTGGACCAGGTCGACACGCGTCCAGCTGCCCCCCGCGATGCGGCGGCGGCGTCGCAGTCAAATGTCTGGGTATCACGCCCCAGAGCCACAAGCAACTATCCGCATCGCTCTGAGCATGGGCTGCAGGCGTGAGGCTGTCAGACTCGGCGGAAACCTTGGCCCCGATTTCGGCGCTGCAAAACACGCCGCGGTGCAGCATGTCTTCTGGGGCCTGCTTGCAGCGCAGGCGCAGTACCTGACCCTATTTTGCTCTACCCCGCCGTGCCCTGCCCTTCCCTGATCTGCCCTACCTTGCCGCGCATTGCCTGACCGACTTGCCGAATGCATCAGTTTACCCCGCCTGCCCCACCTTGCCCGACATTTCTTCCCCTCGCACAACTTGTCCTTACTTCCTACGATTAAGCGCCCCCACAGCCCCACTTAGCCGGCCGATGGCAGCCCCGCCGCCCTATCAAAAAAAAAAAAAAAAAAAAAAAAAAAAAAAAACTCAATGGGTTCCTCGCCAACATGCCGTCGACTTGCGAAAAAGTGTAACAATAATGGGGCGGAATGAACATCGCTTGGGTAGCCGTAAGCTGGTGGTCGCGCCCTACCCAACAACAAAAAAACAATATAAATTCAACGCATTTCTCGTCAACATGGACTTTCTTGTCGTCGACGCTGCGAAAAGTGCAGCAGGAATGGGACGCGGTGCGCATCGCGCGCGGGCGCCTGGCCAACCCTACGCGGGCCCCCCCGCCCTACCTGTCAAAAAGCACCGCCACGTCGACGTTCCCCTTGCCATCGTGTACCTTCTCCTCGTCGGCGCTGCGAATCTTGGCGGCGCAACGCGCGCGGCTGGAATAAGACGCGGCGCTCTTTGCGCGCTGGACATGTTGTCGCCGACGATGCGACGTGAGCGGCCGGAGCGAGGCGCGGGGCTCTTCGCGCGCGGTCTCGTTTCTCGTCGACGTTGCTCAACGCGCGGCAGGAATAGGACGCAGCTCGCGTCGCGCGCTGAACGTCTAGCCGCCCGCGATATAAGATGAGCGACAGGCGTCGGACGCGACGCGCGTGTTTCTCATGTTGCGGGAGGGCGGCTGGGAGTGGACGGGGCCCTCTGGCTCGTTCGAGCTGGCTAACTTGACCTCGACCTACCCTGCCCTACTGCGCCTCAATTCACTCGTCTTTGCCCTGCCACCACCGTGCCGGACCCTGGCCTACGCTACCCAGCCCAAACCTGACCGACCCTGACCTAACCTACCTTACCTGACCTCACCCTGCTCAACCGCAATATGCCCGACCATACCGCGTATTTCCATTCAACTATCGTAGCTTACCCGACCCTGCCCGACCCTACCGCGCACGACGTTACCTGAACCTACGAGACCATGCCGCCTCGTACCGTACCCTACCAAATATGTGCGCAGTTGGTTTGTTGTGCCGTGATGAAATAATGCCCCATGTTTGACGCGCTGGCACAGCGTGGACTGGAAACGCCCCGTTGGGCGCGCGGAACCCGGCACAACGGTAATGGAGCTGTGCCATCGAAGGCGGGCAATTTCAATATTGAGCTCCGATTCCATGTTCATTCGGTTGCATGAGATGGCTATTTTCCTCGAAAAGCAACTCCGAAATAAGCTCACAGCAATTCCAAACAATAGAAAAACGAGTGTATCGTGCGGGACTTCTCCGAAACGAAATGTTCGAATGGCGGGCCCGAGCTCCGTTCCAAACAATAGAAAAGTCTACGCTTCGTGCGGGGGGCCCACTGGCGATAGGTTCGGACCGCGCGCGCGGTGTATCTGATCACAACGCGGGGTTGACACGGAATGATCTTGTGTTCCTACGCACATTCCGAGATTATTGCCCATCATGCCGAAGAGGCGAAAGCGGGCGAAATTTTGACCGCGCCTGCGTCTACTCCGAATATGCCACCCAACTGCCCCCAAATGACCAGATCCGGGGGGGCCCGTCGCATATGTTTGGGGGGGCAGAATGCGCAACAACGTCGCAGCGCGCGCATTCTGAGATTCACGTGGCACAGCAAATCGCAGGAATCGGGCGGGGGCTACGCCCCGCGCGACACGCCGAAGAGTCATTATATTATCGCCCCGGCGCCGCGCCATTTTTATTCAGAGTTGAACTTCTTTCTTGGGCCTGGCGTGAAGTTTTCGCAGGCAGTCGCATCGGCGCGCGAGCGGGTGAAAATGTGGCGCTCGCGCTGGCGCCGCGCAGATTTCGCCCGAAAGTGGCGTTCCCGCTGCGACGCGGCGCAGATCTTTCACCCGCCACTTTTGTAAGGGGGGGGGGGGGGGCGTGTGAGCGGGCGGCGCTCTCGCCCGAACTCCGTGGGCATTTCGCGTGGAACTGCCATTCTATCGCGGGCGCCTCGCATGATTCGGTCTCCGAATCGCATCGCATGAAAAGCGACAGGTGGCACAGAACCCACCCAGGCGCCGAACAATATGTGAGTGAACGTGTGTGAACGCGGCAGTGCCTTGCCAGCGCGGCGCATGCTTCGTCTTCGCCGAGCCGATCGGAGATGTTGCAGCTTCCGCCCCTTGCGCTGTCCTCGTAGATTTCATGTCGCCAAAGAGTCGTAAGCGGGGCCGCGTGCGAACGCCTTCCGTTCTCTAGGTGGGAGCGCGCTCCAATCCCAATATCAGAGGTGCCACACGTGTGTCTTATGTTGCAGAAGACACGGTGTGAATAGGCGGGGCCCTCCGAATCGCTCGACCAGGCTGACCTGGCACTGCCCGACCCTGCGCTTCCCTTCCTGATTTTGTATTAACTTTGCCTTACCCCCACCTTTCTTTTCATTACCATACCTGGCAATTCCTGACCTGCCCTTGCTCCCCTTCCCTTCAACCTTACCTCTTCCATGACCGGACTATATCCCCGACCTTCTACCCTACCCTATCCTACTGCACCAGACCCTCCTCTACCTTACCCAACCTCACCTCAGCTCGCCTTGCCCGACTCTGCCTTACATTAACCTTCCGTGCCTATCCAGCCGTGCCATACCTGGCCCGACCCGGCCATGCCCTACCTCGCCTTACCCTCCCTTGCCTTACGCAACCCTCCCGTGCCCTACCCTACGCTACCTTACCCTAGGCCACTTTGCCTCACCGTACCTGCCCTGCCGTAGCCTACCTTCCCTGACACTATCCTGTCTGACCTCACCCTACTGTGCCGTACCTGCCGTGCCCTGCCCTGCCCGACCCTGCCCAACACTTCCCTTGATCATCATTACTCCTTGTTCGCATATGCCCCAGATGTGTCACGAACCCGGCGGATAGCAACCTTATCCAAAAAGTCCCATCCCACACTTGTGACATGCGCATTCCGCATGGTTGTTTCCGACATGGACCCCAACTACGTTACACAATGCGTGGCGAGAGCGGGACGGGGCGCACTTCCCGCGCGAAAATGCGACATGTCGCTTTGACGCTGGCGCCGCGGCGCAGATTTTTCGCACGCCATTTCGTAGACGCGCGAGCTGAAGGAAAACGGCAGTTCGCCCCAGCGCCGCGCGAATTTCGGTCGAACATGGCGTCACCGCTTCACCGTGGCGAATTTGTCATTCGCCAAGGGGGGGGGCCTCGCGCGAGCGGGTGATTGGCCGCCCTCGCCTCAACTCCGTGCGCATTTCGCCCGGAAGTGGCGTTCCGCGTGGGCGCGGCGCATGGGCCGTTCGCTGTCTCGAATGACAGCTGCCGCGACAGCAGGGCTGTGAGAGAGCGGGCGAGAAAGCGGTATCGCCCAACCGCAGGTCAGCTTGTGAGTGAAGATGGCCTTGCTGTGTCAGCGCGGCGCATGCTTCGTCTTCGCTGCGCTCATCGGATGTTATGCCACCCCCGCCCCAGCGCGGCCCGCGTCGTTCTCCCTTCGCCAAGTCGTCGGAAGCGGGACCGCGCGCGAGCGCCTTCCGTTTGCGAGGTGGAAGCGCGCTGCAATCCCAAGACCAAATTGTGCCACACTTGATCTGTATGCCGCAAGAAGTTGGGCGCAAGCGGGGCCCTCTGACCCGTTCGACCTGGCTAATTTGAGCATTCTTAGCTTCGGCAATGCGAATATGGCGTAATTTAATAAGGTTTATTCCTTCGGGGACCCGACCATTGCCCCAAAGCTCGAACCAGAAACCCCTAACCTGCCAAACGAAGGGGGGATAGAGGAGGTCTGGGCCGCCCCCTCCTCTCCGATGGCGCAGACGGGAGGGAGGAGGGGGGTCCGACCCCCCCCCTTTCAACGGAGCGAAGGGGGGGGCCCGAAAGCAGAGCACCCTTGAAGGAGGGGAGTGGTTGGGCGAGCACGCGCACTTTTTACAAGAAAACGGGGGTGCACTTTGTCCCAACCACTCCCTTTCCTCTTTCGTCGTCGTGCCATGAACACGCACCAGGAATAGAAACAGAAAAGACTGTCGTACACACATATCTGAACTGTCGGATGGCCGCGCGGATTTATCTGATCCGCACTGGACCCCCCCGAGCCTGGCAATGCCTCTGGCGACGCCCCTGGTGCGCTCCGTGCGCCGAGGACGGAGGGGTCCAGCGCCGATCCAAGAACTCTGCGCGGACCTCTGACAATGCACGCTTATGCCGCCTGCGAGGTAAGCAAGAGGCTTTCCGCCGCTCCGCAGCAGAGCGCCGCGCCGCTTGTCTGCCAGGCGGGCGCTCGCACGAAGGCGGCCCGCGGCAAGCTGCCCTTGCGGCCAGCCAACGTCGCGGCCTCGCACTGGGGGGCATCCGGGCTACAAACTCGTAGCGGAGAGGGTAAGCTGGCAGGCGAGCGGCGATGGGAGGGCAGGGCAGAGGAGGTCCAGGGTCTGAAGGACGAGAAGAGGATGCTGTGGGAGGAGGAGGGCGGCGGAACGGTGGGGGGGGGCGAGGACGGGAGTGATCGCGCGCTGCTGCCATCTGCGGCCCGAGGTCACCGAAGTGACCCACCGACGAAACAAGTCTCAGCGCAAACGATGCTTAAACCTCAAAGCTGCCACGTCAGAGCTGGCGGGGAAGGGGGCCAGGGCAGCGCAGGGCAGGGGGGAGGGGAGGCGAACACTACGGATCAATAACAGCTCAAGCCAGTGATTCAAACATAATGGATTGCACCAACTGCGCATCCTGGCGCACGACTCAATAAGGGGCGAAGCGGTGAGACTGCCGCCTGTCTGTTATCACAGCCCCGAAGCGGACCAGGGGAGGGGCGACGAGAGGGTGATGGGGAACGGGGTGAGGAAAGATCCTGCATCGCACCTCGAGCGTGCGCCCCCTCAGTCTACTCTCCACATATGTTGTTGTCTCTCTATGAGTGTATATATATAAATATGTGTATATATATATATACATCTATACGCATATCCGCCATCGTGCCCCCCTGGCACGTTGAGACGTGCCAGAATGCCAGAATGCCAAATGCTTCCTGGTCGGGTTGCTGTAATCTTCTCAGGGACCCCCCCCGTCCGGGTCGCGCAGTGTCGCGTGCATCGCCTATACTCCAGGGGGGTTCCTGGGCGGCCATGGCAGCCCCCTGAAGCTCTCCAAGACCTCCATGACGGCCCAGGAGGCCCCCAAGATGGTTCAAGAGGGCCCCGAGTCGCCGAACGATCGCCCGAAGGCGCCCAAGATGGCCTCAAGATGGCGCAAGAGGCTTCCAAGGCGCCCCGAGAGGCCTCGACGAGGTCCCCCAAAAGGCAACAACCATTGATGTTCCTTGCGTTCTCAAAAAGGATGTTGGCGTTCTCGCTTCTTCGTCTTTCCGACGTTCCACAAAGACCCACGAGGCCCCCAAGACAATCCCAAAACAGCCTAAGAGGCCTCCAAGAGGGCCCCAAGACGGCTTAAGAGCGCTCCACGACGGCCCAATAGGTGCTTAAGACGGCCCAAGAGGGCCCCAAGACGGCCCCCAAAAGGGGCCCCAGAGAGGGGACACGAACCGAAAATCCGAGCCTTCCGCCGCAAGAGGCCCCAAGGGGCCCCCAGGAGGCCCCAAGAGGCCCACGACGGTCCCCAAGAGGCCTCAAATCTGCCTCCAAGAGGCCCCCCACGAGACTCCAACGAAAATCCACTACGCTCCTCCGGTGTCCCCTCGAAGGAGAGCAGCCGATCATGCTGGGCTGGCACGGAGGCGGGATTTGCCGCAAGCAGCGTGGCGTGCTGAACTTCTTACGGTTTTGGATTTGGTTCTTTTCCAAAAGAACTCTCCCAATGGGCTCCGGCGCGTGCCGCCGGGGTCCCGGGAAGATGCCGAACGATCTTCCAGAGGTGGTTGCAAAGGGTTTTTCCGTTCCAGACGGCTCCAAGATGGCCTCCAGGAAGTCGAAAACAGGCTGGTAAGCTTAGGTATGTAGTCCGCCTTAGGCGCTCCCATATCCCAGGCTTTGGCTCATATCGCATGAGCAAGAGAGCGAGACGAAGCATGGGATCTGGAGTATAGAGTAAGATGGGCATCGTCAATGGAAAGGATGTTTTCCGATCTCAGATGCAAGTAGTGCGCCTCGGTGAGGCACAGTCACATATCAGGCCGGGCCCGGCTTGAGCCAGGCACGGCAGCGGTACATGCTCGATTTATACCTCGCCTTTAACCTTCTCCGTTTAAAGTCGGAGGGGGAGGAGACGAGCAGGTACCGCACTTCTATTATGCGGAAAAAACAGTGCTAAGCAGCAGCGGCTGCCTACAAGGAAAGGGCGCGCGAGTAGCCTCGCTACCGGCGAGTTTCCTCGCTGCTAAAGCGCACCTGCCCGCGGGTTTCCCCGCTGGCTCGGGAGGCAGGGCCGTCCTGAGACGACCTGCCCGCCCTATACGGCGTATGTTTCTTCAGCTCGTGCTTGAAGGATTGCTGGCCGGCCATTACTTGTAGGAGCAACGCGCGGTCAATGCTACCTTTGGTATGACCATCGGCAGTCATATCCCGCGTGTCACACCATTGGACGCTTTCCACGATTCCACGTTCCATCATCTGGCGAATCCAGCTGATGTGCCCAAGCAGAGTACACTCTGTGGGCTTCTTCAGATCCTTGCTAGACAAAGATTTGAAGACAGACTCGGCATCAATAGTCAGAGTGACTTTGATACATAGACCACCCATTTCCAATATGTTCTTCAACTGTGTGGGGGTCAATGGTCCCGAGTGTAGCTCGTGGAGCGTTACAATGGTCGGGTAGCAGTCTTCCAAGTTGTGGGCTGCTGCCAGTGTTTCCGCAGAGTAGCTCGAACGCACTTGCAGTCGATGAGACTTGCAGTATGCGTCCACCAGGTGCACGACGGGTTTCCCCGCTTGCGTGTGGCCACGCCTCAGCAGGTTAGCCCCGCGGATACCGTAGCCTTTGACTTCGTCGTCTTCATCTCCGTTGAGACGACGATAGCCAGAATCGCTATGCAGGTCGACTTCTCCTGTTGGAGTCATAGCATGATACACGATCTTCTTCGGACCTGCCTGCAATTTTCTGGTAACCGCGTTTAGTCGTCGTACCTGGATGTTTGTCGGTTCTTGGATACGTTGTAGTGAGACAACATAGACCATTAGCCATACCTGCGTGATCAACGCATAGGCTAGAGCGCCACGAAGACTGACGAACATATCAGAAATTGTCTTCGTCGCCTTGCTTTCGGGATCAGCTCCTGTGAGTTCTGGATGTGTGATAGGACGAAGCTGTTTGATGTATTCGTCCTGGTCGAGAGTGACGCTCCCATCATCGGTCTTGTTGTACCGAACAGCACAGTTCGTGTATGTGTGCTTGTTCAGTTTGCACTTCCCAAACGTATCTTCAACACACTTGACATACTTGTCGATAGCCTCTTCCTTCCCAGTCATATTGATGTCATCAACGTGCTTGGCTGTCAAGAGGTTTGGGCTCATCTCGAACTCTTCGTCGTATGAAGTAGGTTGTAGCCCAAAGCTCCTAGTGATGGACCTGAGTTTCAGCGAGAATGCCCTGGGAGCATCCTTCGTGCCCGTCCCCGGTTTCAGACACCGGAGACAATGCTTTGATTCGTCATATGACTCAAAGCCTGGCAGTGTGCGAAGGACAGCTGCTGACCCAGGTGGTAGTGTGAAACACACCACACGTTCTTTCTCGCCCGTTGCCGCGGCGAGCTCGCCATAGGTCAGTCCCTTCAAGAAAGCCATGTTGATGTCCAGGGAAGCGATGATCCAAGCTTTGTTGCATGCAGCAGAACTTGCGAGCAGTCTCTGGCTTGACCTCCTTGCCGTGCCAGAGAAGGTTTCGACATCAAAGGCTTCGAGGTCCATGAAGCCACGGAGTACCAAGCGTAACCGGATCGTCCTTTCCATTTCGCCCTTTTCGTTCTTGACAAACTTCCATTTGTATACGTAGCGTGACGTCATGATGTTAGACGCCTTGCTTAAGTCAGTCATCTGGAAGCATTTGTTGTCAAGCCAAGTCTTCAGTTCTGTGTAGAGGGCTTTGGAAACTTTGACCGGATTTGCTTGGATGTCGGCCTTCGTGAGTAGATCGTCTTCCTTGACGACCACGGCACGTTTGGAGGCAGCGCTAACGTATACTCGCATAGTTGTGACGCTGCTGTCATCCAACAGTCGGTGTTGCTGCTCGGACAGGACGACTTTGGACATGTCTGCAGTGAAGCAGAGCTCGATATACTTCCCGTGCTCATCGGAGTCCAGATCATATTTGCTATCCGGTTCCGTGGAGCATAAAGGAACGTAGTAAGAAGTGTCCATGTCGTATCCTGGCGGGTGACCCCGCTCCGGCAAGTGGCCTTGCACATCTTCACAGGTCGTAGAGACTAACACACACTGTGTGTCTGTCATGTATGTAGGAACTGTATGCATGACTTCCTCTGTGTCAGCTTCAAGGAGTGTTCTGTCATCCATCAGTTCAGCATACCACGACTTCAAGACAAAAGCATCCAGATCTTCTTCTGTCTCCTCTATGATGGTCGGGAGTCGACCATCGTTGTCCGTAGGAGGCTCCTCAGGAGCAGCTGCTGGAGGTGATTCGCTCGGTGGTGGACCGTCAGCGAGTTCCTCAAACTTAGTGAGGTCTTGGTCAAACCCAGCAGAAGGCTTCCTGGATTTAAGACACTGGATGATGCGTGAGTGTGTGGATCCTGTGATGTCATAGATGTTCAAGGCAGTGCCATCAGCTTCATAGTAATGAAACCCAGGGGTCACATCGTTATCATAGTGCACTAGTGTACAGCTGTCTGCATAGGGTGCGGCAGGCAGCTTCGTCAGGCTCTTGGCGAGTCGTACAGCAACAACGTTTTCAATACGAAAGTAGTTGCGTATGAGGTACTGAAGAGCCAAGTGCACCTTAGGTGAAAGTCGGCTCGCAGCAGTCATCTGCAGCCGACCCTGTTTCGTTGGTAGATATCCGAAAGTCATGGCGGGTTTCCCCGCTGGCAGACCGGCAATAAAGGCCAATACTGTTCGAAGGGCCATATTGTCCGATCCTATCTCGCGGACCATAAGTGCTTCGATGTACAGTGTGTGTCGTGTGTCAGGATACTGTACTCGTACTTCGCGATTGCCGACCTTCACGATGACCTGGCCTCGGTCAGGTTCGTTGCGGATGACCGGGTATGGACCACTCCATCCACCCCAGTCGTCTTTCGTGGTGGTCGGGCGATGATAGTCCACGAGATCTCCCTCTTTATAGTGAAATTCACCCGTAGCAGTAGTCTTTGTACGGAGAGCCCTGTTCGTCTTGGCAACCGCAGTGGCCTGCGTGATTGCCTCCAGACTAACC